AAAAAGAAAACTTTATATATATATATACACAGTATAAAGTTTGTTAGCAATGACTAACTAGTATCCCTCAAGCATCTGAAGGACCTGACCAACCTCCCAAAGCTCCATTCAACAGGTCCCAGGGATGCTGTCAGTGAAATTCTAGACATTTTTCAACATCTTACACTATGACATTGCAAAGGGCAGCACAGAAGACAGAAAGTTTGCTAAAGTACAAGCATAAGTACCTGACAGGTAAATCATAACACTGTATGTTTCAGAAAATATTTTATGGGGTTTTTTTCAGCTATCCACCATCCTGCAAACACACACACACACACACACCCTAAATTACAGAGCAAATAATAACCATTGCACCCCATAAATCTGAAGTAGTGATATATGCAGCCTTTTTTTACAAAATAGAATGCCTCAGGCATACATGATATTGCCTGAAACAATATGAATAAAATGCAATACTGTTATTCAGTTTCAGTAACTCAATTATGAGGTAATGTTTATATATCTGGAGGCAGAGCTAAGGTATTTTCATTGTACAGATGAACTGAAATGATGTATTATTTCCTAGAGCCATTTAAAAATATTTAAGCATCTCCAGGATCTTGGCTTGACTATTCTTCACACCCAAGATAAACCTCCATGATGGTTTAAAAACAATGTGTGGAAAACTTTTCCTGCTAAAAGCAAAAAAAAAAAAAATATGGGTGCTACAGGAAACCTGAATAAACATCAACACATTGGCTCAGGAGAATGAGAACAATTGCAAGGAGGCAACTGCTAGAGGAATAGCGAGCTGAGGAGCGGCCAACACCTGAAGTCTGTTACATAGATATAATGAGTCTGGCCAACTTAAAAGGTCTCACATACATGAGATGCCCTCAAGGAAGTAATTTTGTGCATATATATGTTATCTAGGTTCTTCTCTCTCCTAGCCACCACTGATGCCCTTTTTCCATACAGTCCCTCTGTGCTCACTGTGTTTTTATTTCATCATCCTACTGTGTCTTAATAGCCACAGGAACAAAAAATATGAAGTGCAGAATTACTGAATATGGGAATAAAACAGAAGACAAGAAAAGTCCAAATGAGATGCTTACAAATCTGACAGCTTGCAGTATGCAAAAGACTGACCAAGAGAGTGACCACAGCCTGTCAGACCAAGGGTCTGTGCAAGCCAACATCCTGCCTCCAACAGCTGCCAAGAGCAAGGATCAGGGAAAAACAATAACATGACAATTAGATATATAATATGTATAATATATAATGCCTTCCCCAGGTCGGCTTCCCAGAATCTAGCTGCTAACAGCTCAGTAGTTATGTATCAATGATTCCTACTGTTGGAATTGTTGTGAATACTTAAAAGGAAAGCTATGGTTAGGTCATAACCAGCTAGGGGACTGAAAAACTGAAAACCATTTGTTGTATGGTTTTAAAATTATTTTTAAGTATCAAAAATAATTGGAAGGGGAAAAAAATCTGTAAAACGGAGCTGGTAACAAGTAAACAACAACTGCAGTAAACACTTATATTTATCTTTTTTAAATCTTGGGTTTAATGTATAAACCTTCATCTGTATGGATGTAAATTTAGGTATCTAAGCCAAGAACCTAAATCAACTTAAAACATGCTGGGAATTCCTTTATTTCCCTTAGATGTTGGCATCATAAGGAAAGAGGAGGTGAGCATCAAGCTTTACAACTGGCTTCAGGTTCTAAAAAAGTATTAAAAACCTGGAGCTAAAAGGAGTCCCTGCCTACTGGGATGGCCTTTGGAGCATGTCCTAGACATTTATGTGGTTTTCTCAATAGAATGATGGTAGCAAGACCAATGTAAACTCAATAAACACAAAGGCGCCCAAATCCCAGTGAGAATATTTTCCCTAGTACAAGTGCTTTGTTTCTGGCTTCAGAAATACGGCTCTCAGTAGTGACCAAAAAGAAACTGAAAACTAAAATTCATAATTCCCTTGGAAACTATTAAGAAATCATTCAACATAAGTATGGTTTTTTACAATTCATCTCCACACAGATTGTTCAGATTAAGTCACCACAAATTGAAGACATAACAATTAATAAAATTAATGTAAGTATTTTGGTCAACTTGCTGAAAAGCAGCAATTTTTCATATAAAGCACACTTATTTCTTTTCCCTAAGACAGTAGGAGACAGCTACTTAACACAGGATTGTATAATGCATGGAAAATGCTCAGCAGCTCACTGTGATGAATGCTGAGACCCAGAAAATCTGAACCTGAAACAGCTTCTTTTCTCATTCTTCCAAAAAACTATTCAAACTCTTCCATTATGATTTCTCATATCCTTTAACTGCTTGTCCAAAGATATCCAGTATCACACAATAGCACATGCAAAATATATCCAGCACATGCAAAACAATTCCCGTTTCAAGCTGTACATACAGCCGTCCAGACTACCAATTTATATCCAAGGCAATTCTTTCCATGTGATACACAACACTCATTCTGGTAGTTTCTTTCTAAATTAAGTTGAAAATTTAATGGCTACTCATTTTATGAGGTGAAGCACTCCTGAACTCAAGCCTACACAATGGCCAAGGGAAAACAAGGCTCTACATTCTGTGAAAGGGAAGAGGCACAGGCAGAGGGAAATAGGTTTTATCTGGGTTCATGGGCACATAATCACAATAAAAAGCACCAAATGTCACAGTAGAGTCAATACACAGAAATGTGCCACTGTACACTCATTACACTGTGCCATTTGTTTTTGGACTTGCTGAATACCAGCACAGATCCTGGGAGCCAGTGACACAGAAGGCAACAGAAATGCCTAAAAACATGATTGGGAAAAAAAGACTATTCTGTGTGGTTAAGTAGGAGTAGCAGTTAAATAGGGACGTATTGCATAAGAGAAATTTATGCTCATGTTACTCTTACACTTTCACTTCTTGCCTGTTAAACTCCTACGAGCTGTAACATTTCATCTACACATGGAATCTAAATCACTCTTTAAAAAGTTTTGAAGACATTTCTGTTTTGTTTGAAAAAAATCACTTTTTTTGGTTTCCTGAGAACCAAAGCAAAAAAATAAGCCCTTTACCCCAAAACACAGTGGGTAAAATTGCATTTGGTAAGGGGCAAAAATGGATGGGTGAAGTTTTATTTCAGCTTCACTTGTCACAGGGAGGAGGGAAGACCTGGTAAGACTAAGGCTCTGTATCTGTAGTAGAAAAATATGATGGCTGAGTGGGTGTCTTCAACAGAGCAATTTCAAATATTTTAAAGGACAAATGTGTAAACAATGCTAAATTTGGGGGACAGAGATGCAGACAATTTCATGTTCATCTAAATCTTGCAATTCAGGAGCTGGTTTGTTAGCATGTATTTTGGGATTCTCAAGCTTCCCCTCCAACAATTGCAAGCACAACCACTCTGACACTGAGCACCGCCCCTAGCTAGCTAAGAAAGAGTAAGCTGGCTAAACTATATCATCTTTGTAAATGAAAGCAAAGCTTTTTCAATAATTTCTATAATTTGGACTTTTTGATTGGTGATTTTTAAAAAATAAAGGACGTTGCTTTCCTAATAACTTGTCTTTGTTAATTTAGCAAGTCTCTAATCATCTCTGAGCTCTGACGTACAAGAAGAGCCAAGACCTGCAACCTGTATAAAGAAAAAAGAAGCAAGCTGGGAGGGAAAGAGGTAACCTCTCCAAAGTTACACAGCAGCTAAGTGCTAATACTACGAATTGATTTCCCATCTTTTTGAACCTTGCTCAATGTCCTGTGCCCATACAAGACATGCTGCCCCTGTGAATTTTTAAAAGAGAAGACTCACAAGATGACAGAGGAAAGCAGATTAAATATAATTGTCAAGGACCCTCCTGAAAGCCTTTTGAGGATTTCCACTTGTTTAGCAGACAGCACTTAGAAAGAACACAAAACATTCTCAACACTAAAGCATCTTACTGAGACATCCATCTCAAAGCCTGAGTCTTCTTTAACAGAAAATTTCTTGTTCCTTAGTACAATCCCTTTAGCTACTTCTGCTTTATCCTTCATAAGCCTCCTCTGTTTTAGGTGCCACTATCCACTTCCCCTTCTCAGAATCCCGAACTGCAACATTCTGCCAACATCAACATAACTGCAATTTCTCCAAATAGAAAGCAAATCACCAGACACTAACACATGACCAAAACTTCCTCCAGTCTTTAGCCACCATTACAAAGAACCTGAATAGCAATAAAGCAGCAGCAACTTCTCCCCACACTACTTCCAAATGTTGTGACAGGCATGTCTCTAATCTAGACTGCAATGCACTAAGGCTGCAGTTATTTAGTACTGAGTGGAGACAGGATACAATTCTCCTCTTCAATAGAACAGAAAACATCCTTGAGGCAAAGATGCTTTTTTAAACCTATTTCGTATCCCCTCACAAGAGTAAGTGAGCTTTGGTGGTTCCTGTACATCAGAGCTCATAGATGATTAGACTTGCTCAATTAACAAAGACAAGTTATTAGGAAAGCAATGTCATTTATTTCTTAAAAATCACCAATCATGAATTCAAAATGACAAAAATTATTGAAAAAACATTACTTTTATTTATGAAGATAATATGGTTTAGACAGCTTACTCTTTCTTAGGTAGCCTTACCCAATGAGATAATACTACTTAATCTATGCTTTATGTGTAAACAAACACACATATGTTTCAGATATGCTTGGTTTCATCAACACTGTCCAGGAACTTGATGCCAGAAGCTCAAATACAGCGCAATTTGCAACTGAATAGCCAAGAACAGCTTAATATTACAAATTAGAGTTTTAATTCAAGTATGCTCTACTACTCACAAGAAAAAAATCTCCACTTAAACATCAGGGATACAGCATGGAAAGCACTTTCTGGATACATACTGCAGCATGGATTTCATTTTTACACATACTTGAAAAATCACAAAGCCTTGTAAAAAAGGCAGAATAAGGAGTTCTCCATTTTAGTCAACACTGAAATAAGCCCTGTGAGCTTACCGAGCAAAATAGCCCTGTCGCCGTTCCTTCTTCTCCTCCTTGGTCTCCATCATTCACAGCGCAGTGGGCAAGGTGAGCAGCCACGCGTGATGCTCCTTTTCCCCTCAGCACCTCATAACCAGGCAGAGTCTCCTGTATATAACAGTTAAAGACAGGAAGTTCATAAATCAACATGCCAACAACACCTACAAAACCCAACAGGTTGTGGAAGTACAACTGACCCAGTGACAAAGCAAAGTAAGACTTTACCCAATGTTTGCCGTGAAGTGCCCATTAAGTATACAATGAGACAAAGCAATAAATGCACGCGGGCCAGTTTCTCAGCTGTGGAAGAGACATTTTGCAAAGCAGGTAACTCAAAGGGCAGCATCAAGTTTTAAAACTCCGGAAAGATTAAACTACTTTCAAGTACAAAAAAAGTCTTCCAGGTCTCATGTGTTTCCTAGACAGGTAGATCAAGAGAAATTTGGAAATATATAGTACAAACAGAATAACCAGTAAGACAAACAATGCTTACTTTGAATTTAAATTTTAAATTACTAAAAATACTATAAGATTTTGAGAGATCTGAAAGTTTTAAAAACAATGTAAAAGAAAAAAGAGTGATCTACATTCTGTACAAGGTTTGACTTTGTATTTGTGACCAATACACAAGCTCAAACAACCATACAGAGAGAAACAAGATGGACCTGTTGTTCTCCCAATGAAGTGTAGTCACCTTGAAATAGGCATGACGAGGAAAGGTTATCTAGGTTATCTGAGAACTTTAAAAAAGAAAAAAGGAGACCAGTAGCACTGTTTTTTGACATGAAAATCACCACCCCTTGGTGGAATGCTGCACCAAGATCCTTGGAAAACAGAAGCTGAGAATTTCCAAATTGCTTTATAATTACTGTAATTAACAACATGCCACATAAACTGCTGCCCAAGATCCCAGTCAAGATGTTTTATCATTTTCCTCTCCTCAACATACACTTAACCTACCCTGATGGCTTGTGCACATGCACAAAGTAAGTTAACTTTAGAGTTTTTTATCAGTATTTCAGAATAAACTCAAATCAGTAGTTGCTATTAAACATTTTAGTCTAATGGGCTGTATAACAAAGAAATAGAAGCCACATAATTATGATTCATAGCAAAAGAAGAAAAAATCCTCTGGGACCTAATCAGTTTCCATTATTTTCCCCTGCATTAAAAGATCACAAGCTACTAGACTGCCAGATGTCAACAAAAGAGATGATGCAGCAAAGACAGACTAATCTACTTGAAAAGCCCAAGAACAAATCATGCTAGAAATACTTGCCACAATTTTCTCTCCTTACTGATGGATGATTAGTCCACAGCATATGAAGGCCATTGCTTCAAAATGCACTTTTTCTAACTCATTAGTTTTGAATTCATCCAGTGCATCAGAAAGAATCAAATTGCTCTCATTTTTACACATCAGGTAGTCTTACAGTAATGGGTAGTCTTTAAATGGCAAATACCTGACATCTCTAGCTTTATGAAGAGAATACAGTTCTACCTCTGCAAGGTAACACATGATGCAGGACACAGCTGGACACCTAAACTTCCATGACAGAAGCATAACAGCAGCATTAGAACAAACTGGCCAGCTCAGATGTTCAGCCTGTATGAAGACACCACAAAGTTCCTGAGAATTCTGATGCATCTCCATGTTCCCTGTTGGGGAAGGTTCTTGGATCTTCAGAGGATCAGAACTGGTGGCTTCATTAGCACTGCCTTTAGAGTTACAGTAAGCCTTCCCAAGTTTTCAGCTACAATCTCTACAGTGAATTACAAGAGTTCAAAGGAGGAACCACTTTCCCCCTTCACCTGCTTTGCCTTCCCTACACTGTGATGTGCCATGAGGGCACTGACAGACAAGAGCTGAATCTCAAAATGACACCAAGAACTATCAAATAACCCCAAAGCATCAAAATAGTGTTAAACCCATGACCACAAGGACAGCAGGACCCATGGGAACAGGAAGAGTCCTTCACCTCACTGAAGCAAGATCAGTTGGGATGAACAGAGGCAAGAGAGACCTATCCTCACTGCCTAATCCCACGCAAGGGTCAGTGGTATGCTCTTTCCATTCATTCTCTTCCTCTCCCATGCTCTGCCATCCCCAGCCAGGGAAGTCACTGCCCAGCTCCAGGCTGGCAGACAGAGAGCACTACTGCCCAGGGAGCCAGAAGGAGAAACCCCTGCCTGCCCACAGCCCTGCCAGGCCCAGGGCCAGAGCAGCCACCCCTGCTGCAGCAAAAACGGGCACAAAGAAGGAGAGAGGAGGTTAAGCCTGCACGTAACCACAGATGCTGCAGGAGCTGCCAGCACCAAACCAGAGAGGCACTGCTCAGCTCCCCATGTGTGAGCTGTGCTGTTTGCTTCCATCAGTGCTAAACAAAGCCAGCAATGCCAACATGGGTATGGAGCCTGTTCTTCTCATATCAGATAAATCCAATTCCTTTCACATGGTGAGGAGGAATAAAGCAAGAATTCAAAAAAATTAAATAATTGTATTCATAACAGATGGGCACTGAGAAAATTGGAATGTTATCCACAGGGCAGACACAGCAAAGGCATTCAGGCTTTTTTTTTCTTTCACTAATAAAAATACCCAGCAACGCATATCCAGTCACCAAACCAAGTAAATTTTCATAATAGCATAATTCAATGTCAGATCCCACTCTGTTGACCTAAAACTTACTTAGTTTACCTTCTTAGAAGAAACAACCGTGTTGTTCTAGAAAGGCATATTAAGGTCTGAAAATTATACTTTGAAAACACAGTACTAGAAATAGCAAACTGATTAGGAATGCTGACGTCTTAAGTGCTGAGTTTACCTGTGTTGTTGGGAATTTTGCACTAGTTGCCTCAAAGGAAAAAAAAGAGTAAATCTGACAGCTAGGAGGAACACAGCACAGCCTGCAGTAATTGCTACAGAAAACTAGTATTTCTGAGAGGTCCTTTTCAATTTTAGTTTTTTAAGCAGTTCCAGCACAAAAGTCACATTTACTTTACAGGATGTCACTGACAATTTAAAGTGACATCAAAATAGGCAAACCTACTCCACACTTCTCCCTTATTTGTCCTTTGATATTTTACAAGAAAAAAAAATTCAAGGTAATCTTTATCATCTGCATAAAATGCTATTAAGGCTATATGATTCAAATGAATCTTGGTTTCCTGGCAGCTCCTTTCTGGTACAGATGAATACTGAATCAGCATACCATTAAAAATGTACGTATTTGGGGATATTTATATGCTGAGAAACAGACAACTTACTCATATATCATGAGTTCAGTCCAAACTCAAAGGATGACAAAGCTGATTTTATATAAATTTCAGGCTCAGTTTAACCTTTTCTACACCTTGAACAGAAGCAGACTGTGAAAATCTTCTATTATATGTTTACAGCAGCGCTAATTCTTTAATTAGGCATTTTCAAGGCAAACCAAACAATGCATTTCAGTAAGGAGCCTGTTAAAAAATTGCCACTCTCCAAATTTAGCCAGTGTCAGCACCTGATAATTATATAAAGAAAAGAACAAAATACATAAACATACACTGTTCTTCCCTGATTTAGCCCTACTGCTCTGAATATTTTATTTATATTTACTCATTTCTGGATACTTGCTGTGTCTCTCTAGTGTTGCTGCCAGGGAATTCTGGGGAGTTTACTGAAAATTTGTAATTAAAATGGGAATGTTTCAACGAGGCCAAAAAAATACTTGTTTTTTAAATGTTATAATTACAGGTACAGACTGAACTCCTGACCATGGATATCCACACCCCTTCTACTGTCACCACACTCTCAAGACCTCCAGAAACTGCTTCCACGTCCTGCTGTCCTCCCTGCAACCTGGCACTGCAGGACAGCAGCCTCCTGCACTGGTACATTCAAAGTAGCAGCAGAAGATGCTCAAAGTGCAGGGATAAAAAAAGGGAACAGAAGATAAAAAGTAACTTAGTGTGTGAATAGAGCACCCTTTAAAGACCGATAAATTTACCAATTTTTCAAAATTATTTTTTCTTCCTTTTCCTTCCCTTCTCATGCATGAAGAATGATGTACCTTGCTACTTGCAGTTTAAGCAGTTCACACTTTCATGAAACAAGAAAAAGTCCTGCTTGCTGTGCTCAGGAGTAAGCACCCAGAAATCCTGTCTGCTGCCCTAAAGCATCAACAAGCAATCCTTTAGTCATGGACATTACTTTCCAAAACTGTGCATGTGAACAGCAGTACATCCAACAGCACAGCAATGCAGAAACCAGTGAAGCATCTGACTATTTTTAGAACATTCAGTGGACTTGATAGCTTTTCTCTTGGCCATCTGCGCCCACTGCAAGTCCTGGAAAAACATATGGAGAAAAAGCAACAATCAAGATCATGCGATTCTCTAGACACATTTTTGATGACCCTGTAGAGTCAGTATTTCCCAACCTCTCATGAGGTAGGAAAAGTATAATTCCCTGCTTTGCAAATGGGGAGCTGAACTGTAAGAATTACCTCCACATGCTCAAATAAGGGCAGAAGAGCAATGTGTGCAAGTGCCCTCCCAGTAGCTTTAATCCAGCCTTAACACTGAGAATATGGGAGGAGATTGCTTTGACAAAGAGATTGTTATTATTTTCTCTGAAATTTAAACTGACCAACTTTGGAAACCAATAGCACAGTCTCGATTTTATCTGGCTCTGTGGGCATGTACACAAGAATCATAGCTCAGATCCACAAAAGAAAATAAAAAGCCTAACTCTAACTCCTCTGAGGATCCAGGCTCACTCAGCCCCTTCAGCAAGGAGCAAGCATGTAGAAAAAAGCAATTAACTGGCTTCAGAAAAACCAAGTCAAGGGTAGTGTACTCCATAACTTAGCAGGACCCTCACCATGCAAGAGACAGTGGCAGCAATCACACTGTGAACAGCAAGCAGGGAAGGTCTACACTCTACACACAAATTTTCCACTTGGGAAGGCAGAGCAGATGAAGGTACAAGACTCCCAGCGAGACAGTCAAGCAGACATGGCCACAGCAAGGATGCAACAGGGAGACCCCACTGTGCTGAGGGAACAGGATGCTGCCCAGACACACCATGTAGCTCTCATCTGCTCTCTGGCACGGTGTCCCAC